AAAAGCCCAATATGGATGTACGTAAATAATCACCTGAAGTTAACCTTCAATTGAGGAAGACTTTAATTTCTAATTTAGCTCCAAAGTAAACATGAGTTGGAATCTCTACATACTGTATTTTTCGTACTATAAGACTCACCTGACCATAAGACACACCTAGGTTTAGAGGAGGAAAACAAGAAAAAAAGGGCCACAGATAGGTGTCCTCTCATGTGTCAGCTCTGCCTGTTGACTCCTGCACTGCAGAAAAGAGACAGAAGTGGCGGGCTTCAGCACCGTAAACGCCACCGCAGCCTGGCTGCTATTCTAAAGGACTGGCACTGCTCCACCATTGGGGACCCCTGAGGTAATACACGTCATGGTCTGTGATGCAATATTCACTCCATAAGACGCACAGACATTTTCATCCACTTTAGTGGTGGTGGGGGGAGTGTGTCTTATGGAGCGAAAAATAAGGTACATGAGGGATGGTGCTTACATCATCATTTTACGATATTAACCTTTTCTGGTGAAATTGCTGGATTGCTTGTATCAACAGGCACTAACTATTCCAAACAACTCTTGGTAACTGTGCACTGTCATTGAATAAATACTAGAATAGCATCATAGGAAGAAGGGCAGTTAAATAAATCAGATCACTAATTTGTAGGGGGTTTTCTTTGTGGGAGGAATTAATGGTAAGCCCTGCTGATTCCCAAAGATATTTGCTTATGCCAAGTCTGAACACAGAAGTATTTCCAGATGCAAAGAATAGTAGGTTTAATTAAATTAAATTAATACTAGCCTCTAATACTAGATTTTTTTTTTAAACATTCCTGGAGAAAAACCATTCAGGCAGATGTTGAAGAATTGATTGAAAATAAACAGTGGAGTCCTTGGTGCTTTCTGAGTTCGGTTGTTTGCTTGCAGATATTTCATTATCTGCACAGACACTAGATGTCTATGGAGATTCTCAGTCATCCAGGTCAGGTGCTTTTTTAAAGAGGCAACTGGACTTTCTGGGTTTTCTTTGAACATGTTTCGCTTTTCATCCAAGAAGCTTCTTCAGCTCTGAAGTGAAAGCATGAGAAGCCAAATGTCTTCCAAAAAATCCCAGAAAGTCCAGTTGCCTCTTGAAAAAAAGCACTTTTGGGACATAACCAACTAGATAAAATATCAATGCTAGCGAGTTTGGGGTTTGCTCCCTGTTTATATACAATNTTCTAGGCTTACTTACATTTATTGCAAAAGATTTCTCTAGCCTGTCACTACAGTGAAAAATAGCTAGTAATGAATCACCAAAATAACAAAAGGCATAGTCCTCTCCAATGGCTTCAAATTCACAGGTTTGTGTGTGTGTGTGTTAAAATAATCAGGCCATAAAACAAATGAAATGCTTTAAATCTAGGAGTGGTGTTCCAATCCTGTAAAAAGAAAATAGCTCAAATTAATTAACATGCCTTTGTCGTAACCTAAAAGAATGCAGCAGTGATTTTAAGATTTTAAATTCCCACCAGTGTTTTCTGCCACAAAAAGTAATAAATCTTTCAGGTGGTGGGAGCATTGCACTCTTTTCATTCTTTACCCCTTGTAAAAAAAATGTAGTCAGAATTTTTAATGTTTTTCCCCCCCTTGTTACTTAGATGTATTGGGAATGTGGCTCTGAAACTAGATGCTGGTCTTTGAACAAAGGAAAACTGGCGAGTAATGTAATTCTATTTGCTTGGCTGAAGTTTAACCTGATTCCAACTGGGTTGCTTCCATTAATGATAGCTGATAGAGATAGATCTGCTTGGTGGAAAAACACTATAAGGGAAAAAACTGACTTACCGCATTTTCTCTGAATTTTCGTTACTTTCTGGTCTTGTAAGTGTTTATTGGACTTCTCCACTAACTGTCTGCATATTTATTTATTCTAAATGTCACTGGGAATTCACCAGAGTCTGTCAGTGTCTTACCCTCAGCAATTTAGAGGTCAGTTATACAGGTAGTCCTTGATTTATGATGACAGTTAAGCCCCAAATTTCTGTTGCTAAGTGAAACAGTTAAGTAAATTTTGCCCATTTTATGATCCTTCTTGCCACAGTTGCTAAGTGAATCACTTCAGTAGTAACATGGTTGTTAAAGTGAATCCGGCTTCCCCAGTGACTTTGCTTGTCAGAAGGTCATAAAAGATGATTACATGACCCCAGGACACTGCAACCGTCATAAATATGAACCAGTTGCCAAGCATTTGTATTTTGATCACATGACTATGAGGATGCTGCAATGGTTATAAGTGTAAAAATCTGTCATAAGTCACTTTTTAGTGCCGTTGCCTCTTGAAAAAAAGCACTTTTGGGACATAACCAACTAGATAAAATATCAATGCTAGCGAGTTTGGGGTTTGCTCCCTGTTTATATACAATCACTTGCCATGCCAGCTTTGGTGGCGGTGTGAGTTTATCCTTGATTAGTGTATTAGTTTCTGCTTGATTGTCTGGTATTAATCGTTGCTTATCTGGGTGTTGGTTGCTGCAGAGAATGTGCTCTGCATGTATGTTATGTGCACACCTCAAACCCAAGAATACACTAAGACAGAAACTTGCCCATCCCAAGAATAAAATACCCAGACAGAAACTGAGCAATGTGGTATATGCATTATAATGCAGTGAGCCATGTGCAGATCTGTACATTGGGGAAACAAAACAACCACTTCATAAACACATGGCACAACATAGAAGAACAAAAACATCAGGACTAGATTCAGCAGTCCATCTGCATTTAAAAGGCACGGCCCACTCTTTTGAAGATAACAAAGTCCATATTTTGGACAGAGGATCACTGGTTGAAAGAGGAATTAAAGAGGTTATGTCAAAATTGAACAGCCCTCTCTCAACAGAGGGAGAGGGATAACACTTACTTCCAATCTGCCACCCAGTCCTTTCAACAGTTCCAAGAAGGCTCTTTGCTAATTTGCACTCTGACCCTGATGACACAGATAAACCTCCAGGTGACCTTAATGACTTGCTAAAAGAATGTAATGCCCAGCTGTCTGCAAGGAGTATAAATCCTTCCATTCCCCACCATGCAGTCAGAGCTGAAGAAGCTTCTTGGCTGAAAAGTGAAATGTCTTCAAAGAAAAAGTCCAGTTGCCTCTTGAAGAAGAAAAAGCACCTTCCATGACCTGAATGACTCAGAATCTCCATAGACATTTAAGATGTTTTGGCTGGCTTTAGCTGGTTTGTGTGCTGTGATGATGCAGTGTAATAGTGTGGTGATGTTTTTGATGTATGGCAGTGTATCCTTTTTATAACTTGTGTTTATCATGCTGTAATGGGTTGCGTGATCAGGCACGTTTTGCTAAAGTTGCAAGGGGATTCATTTTGATGGGAGATGTTGTAGAGGCAGTCTGCTCCCCTTTTGTTGTGTTCTGGGTTGCATTTGTACTTGTCTGGTAATGTCCTGTTGTGGAGATTGTATCAACCTTGTTACTTTGATAATGTAGCACTTGGTGTGGGTTTTTTTTTAATTGACTTGCATTTCTAATTGATCATGATTTTTTCTGTTGATAAGGGTTTTCCAGAAGGTTAGAAAGTTTCATTTTTTCTTTGTGAATGTTATCCCTTTGAAGATTGTTTCATGTTTTTTTACTATAACAAAGGTGTTTACATAGCAGAATCATACTTTTGGCTGTATGTATGGGATGCAATCTAGACATAACACCAAAGTTATTGCTATGAGTCCTCAGAATGATAATCCCACGAATTCATGTTTTGGTATATTTATTCATCAAACTGAATATAGGTAATGAGGTAGAAGTTTATGAGGTCCATGATTCTGGGAATTACAAACTTAGTATTTTTGGTCAGGTTGGATGAGCAGTACTGTAATACTGCTATGGTGCTTTTCTTTTTTTGCTAGTTCTGGCTATATGACATAGAATGCTGTGACATCAAATGAAATGACTAGCTGAGGAAGTCTGGAAGTTGAACAAATCTTAAAAGTTGCCAAGGTTGAGAATCATTGGTTTAAGCTGTAGTTGAGACTTTTCTGGAGGATATTGCATTCTGCAGTGGAAAGCTAGGAAACAAACAAAAAACCTACACATGATTCTGGAATAGACATTATCAAGATGTAAATACTGAAATGAATGCACTGTAGGGAAAAATTGTGATTGTAAGTTTATCGTTATAATTTTTAGATATAAAAAATCTAAAGGCATCTCTTCTCTATCTCTTTAAGGTATATTTTTACATATAATTTAGATCACAGATACATTTTTAATTATATTTTATAAATATAATATAATTTGCATAATTTGTTTAATTTAAAGTTGAGGGGGTATGTGTTTGCCTGCTCTTTCATTACAAAAGTGTTTTATTCATAAGTATCTATATAAATTCTAACCTGATCTTTTTTGGAGAAATATTCAAGTATGTAAATCTATTTCCTGCTGTCATATTCTGAAAAAGGGTTAAATGGTGGTTGTTTTCTGAAATAGTTTTGAGTCTTTGTTTAATTCTGCATGATTGTCCTTGAATTACTTGTTATTGAACAATAGTGCTTGGCAAGTATAATACCCGTAGTACCTTTTTAATGCTTCTTAACTGGAGATTAAAAGAGATTAATTTGAATCTTTTTGTATTCATATCTTCTTTTAGTGGACTGATTTGGTTTGTTGATTTTTGCTCCCCAATCAGCAGAATGAATACAAAATTGGTTCTTCGTACTCATGGCATTTAAACATAATATTTAGTCTAATAGTGAATTTGAGTGCTAGTAGAATTTTAGCCAGAAAAAGGCTATGTTAATTGTCAGAGAATGAGTGCCATGGTCAATCCCAAATATTAAAAGTTAGGGGGTGTTGGACTATTTTTATGGACTATTTTGAACAGGTGGTCCTCGACTTATATGAATTGAGCCCAAAATTTCTATTGCTAAGTTAGATATTTGTTAATGCCCCATTTTATTTATTTATTTATTTATTTATTTATTNTACCTACACAGGGAGAGCTCCTTTCCATTCTGGGATTGTGCAGCCATTGCCCTGATCTACATTTCTTAATATTTACTGCCCCCTAGTGCTATACGTTATCTTTAACACTAGTTAAAGTGTAGAGGATTAACACTTTGGGACCTAAATTGAATTTTTTTTTTTAGTTAACCAGTTTTTGTATTCAGATTTGGCTACAAATATAGAAGATATATGATTTTGTTAAATGTAGTTTGTGTGTACATATGTGCAAGTTCCACACATTTAATTGTCTCACCGGTTCAGAAAAATGCCTTCAATTACAGGCAAAAAAAAAAAGCAATGCAACAATTGCACTTCAACTTATGGACACTATGTTAGCTGCCACATAATATGGACCAAGGAGGTTATTGAGGTCATGTTATATCTTCATATCCCTGGGTTCCTTGTGTTTTCATTTTTCCATTTTTTGCTCAGCCACTGTAACTATTATTGCTCTTTTGAGATTTCTTGAATTTTCTGGCCGTGGGAAGGGTTGTTATTCAGGTATTCAGTAGATATTTTGTAAGCAGTATCAAAGTTCAGTCCTTAGAATCTCAATATAATTTGGGGAAAGGCCTCTCTAAATTTCTGGAACTTGCTGCTCCTGTGATACTGTGCAAGACGAATCACAAAATACCTTGACATACCATAGTATAATTGAAGTCTGAAAATAGCAGGAAAATACTTCATTGGAATACTTGGACTAAAAAGGGGTCAATACTTTAAACCAGTTGATTTTTAATAGTGATTTTAACAATTGTGAGATATTACTGTTTGAATTTTAGTTTCCTTCAATATACGCTTGCTGAATATACAGCTATATTAGTATATAGAGCTGAAACATCTCCTAACTGAATAGTATAGGCCAGATAGTTAGCAGCCTCTGAGTGTCTACAATATTGACTTCTTTAAGAAATGCTTTCCTTGCATGAAAACCTACCATTTAATTTTATAAGCTACAAAAGATGAAATTAAATTATTAGTTATGCATTGATTTGTGGAAAGAAGAATTGAAATTTTCAGTTTTGGAAAATCAGTGGTTCAGGTGGTAAAAAAATACATTGCTTATGATTTTAAAATGAAATTAATTCATCATAAAATTTCATTAAAGTTTTATTTGACCCCTACAAGAATATTTTAAACTAAGTTAAAGGGAAATTAAATTTCTTATTTTGAATGATATGAGCAATTTAACGTAACATGATTTGGTCTTGTTCTTTTATTGCTTTATTTTGGTTTCAGATTTTAACATATATGTTAATATAACTTCAGAAAGACCTGTTTAATAATTTCAATATGACACTGAACTATGCTCTTTAAGTCAGAAGTCTACTTCTTAAATTCTCCCGTGTAATATGAGCCAAAAAAAAGTGAAGAAGGTAGAGCTTTCATCTCCTGTTGTCTTTGTGATATTTTATATTAAAAATGGATTCTATGCATTTTGATTAGTTATAAAAAAAAGCCAGATCCCTGAATGAAATGCACATGGCTGTCTAGTTGCACATAACATGAACCTAACTTCCATATTCTTTTTGAGTTTGCAAGTTAAACCTGTCATTTATGACTGTCAGAATAACATCCCCGCCCCCCTCCCAGGAGCTCAAACTAAAAGATGAAGAATGCGAGAGACTTTCCAAAGTACGTGATCAACTTGGCCAGGAACTGGAGGAACTCACTGCTAGCCTGTTTGAGGTTTGTTAAAAGACTTTGGTGTAGTATACTCTAGGAATGATACGGCTAATTTCATGAAACCTTTTCCTCCTAAAATAGCAAATTTGGGAAATTGTTTGTGCTTCTGAACGTTGCATATTCAAAATGAAGAAAATCTCTCCATAGGTTAGATGATGTTATTCAAATTTATGTTTTTGATTTTAGAATGATATTTTCACAGTTAGCTTCTCAATGGTAATCAAGTCTCAGTGACTGTTTAAAATTGACTTAGATTCATTTTTCCAATTACTGTGCTATACTTCAGTAATTTTAAGGCATGGGTAAAAGGTCTGAAGAGTGAACTATAACATTTTCAGAAGTTGTGTCACCACAGTTGCAATCACCAAAAGGATCTTATTTCTGTCTAAAGCTTCTTATAAAAGTAAAATAAAAGAGAATTTTAAAATTGAATATATTGGGTCCTATTTTACACCTATAGTGTAGATCTGTGTGAAGTAATTATACCACATAAGCTTTGTTTTCAATAGGAAGCTCATAAGATGGTGAGAGAAGCTAATATAAAGCAGGCCACAGCAGAAAAACAGTTGAAAGAAGCACAAGGAAAAGTGAGTTCTAATTCTTGATATTATAGCATTTACAAAATTTCTCTTTCTCTCTCTGTGATTTTCCAACTGCATTTCAAATGTACAAAGTTCAAAAATCAGTTTAGTTGATTTTATGTCAAAACAATCTAAAGAGAAATTGGTGAGAAACTGTATTCATACCATTTGAGAATAGGGTTCTTATTTTGGGGATGATTATTTTGCATAAAGAGCTAAATCAGTATTCAAAGTTGCTGAGCCTTTTCAAATTTAACTCACTGCTGAAATGATCAGTGTAATCAATCTATTTGCCCAATTTATATGCTGCTTTTGTGGTTCAAATTGAACACTGTGAGTGGCTCGCATTTTTAATTGACATAAAAAGATAAAAAGAAGGAAATTAAAGCAATTCCTGGCAAAAAAAGAATAACTAGCATAGCTCTTAACTGTTCAATTCATAGTTCCCCTTTCTTTTCTATTTTTAATTAGATATTTTATGTTCCCTGTCAGAGTCTTGGCAGCGTGGCTATTATTATGAGATAAACACTAGGAGCANTACATTCATTCTAATCGGGGCTGGACCTCAACAGTGAGGTCAACAGCCCCAGGCCTGCCGGAACAGCCAAGTTTTTACAGCTTTCCTGAAGGCAACCTTTCTTGTCAGTTTTTAAGTGAATCACTGCAGTTGTTAAATTAGTAACAAGGTTGTTAAGTGAGCTTGGCTTCCCCATTGACTTTACTTGTCAGAAGGTCACAAAAAGTGATCAAATGACCCCAGGATACTGCAGCTGTCATAAATAGGAGTCAGTTGCCAAGCATCCAAATTTTGATCACATGACCATGGGAATGCTGCAATGGTCATAAGTGTGAAAACTGGTTATAAGTTACTTTTTTCAGTGCCATTGTAACTTTGAACAGTCACTAAATGAACTGCTGTATGTCGAGGATTACCTGTATCTCATAGTACCTAGGAAGAGATGCAGTATTTTCACTTACATTTCTGATTAACTGAATTCCAGCACTTCATCCAAACTCTAAATTTGGAGATAAAGTAAGCATCTTACAGTTGCCTTTGCTAGAATAAAATCATTCCCACCCTTTTACACCATCCCCTTTTAATCATTTTATATTGCTCTTCCTTCCAGCTTCATGATTTATTTTTGCTCTCAGTTGATTTATGAGAAAAACCCATAGCTATAACACATGTATTAATGTTGACTTCCAACATATCTCTAGAAACATTAAATCTTTACTGTAATTTGTTTACATCCTCTTCATCGTTGTTGACTGTGCTTCCATGGCTAGTGATAGTGTGGTATTACAGGTTGCTGACTTGTGTCAGGTAGCAGCTAAGTCTCTTGGACTTGAATGCTTGAAGGGGTTGGATTACACTATATAAAACAAAGACTCAGAAGTGAAAACCAAATTTTGGTCACCGTTATCATGGCTGCATCATGTTTTTCAAGAAAATGCCAGGACTTTCAAGTTTGCTTTTTGCATTAAAAATAGCACAGCTCAAAAGGGTGATATTTTCTCTAAGGAATTTATTGTCATCTTGACTTCTGAGAACAAGATCAAATGGAAAGAGCATTGAACATCCTATTTGGAATATTCCAAAAGTTTAAACCAGGATTATCTCACAGTGCAGGCTTGCCACATGCTTCACATGATTTTGATAGAAAAAAATGCAGAATTTAAGATTTTGTAGCTCACTAGCTTTTATTTATTTATTTTTGTTTATGTGCTTTCAGGATTTGATGTTTATACGAAAAAGGAAACTAAATGTTAATAGTATTATTTATGTTAACAGTATTATTTGTGCACATGACAAATGACAGAATAATTGAAATAAATAGAGTGGCAGTGTATATTTTTCTAATGGAGACCAACAGGTGGGTTGTTGCTGGTTCGGCCCGGATTGGGCAAACCGGTAGTAGCGGTGGTGGTGGGACTCTGCCCACCTGCCCGGATGCTTCTGTGCATGTGCAGAAGTGTCACAGAAGAATGTGCCCAAACCAGTAGTAACAAAATTGGCAACCCACCACTGGAGACCATGACCATAGCATTTCCATGAGAAAAAAGGGGGAACATTAACAAGAGACTGCTAAGGGAAAAAAGTTCAAGGAATTTTAAATTCTATTGCAGAGTGAATCATAATGAAAGCTCTGTCTTCTAATATTAATCTACTCTGAGTAAATCTTCCAAGAAAAGGGAGTCTTGAGATAGGAGAAGCAGATACATTAAATTTTATCTATTGGTTTATAAGAAAGATGCACTTTTCATTGCAGAAGGATTAATGGAAATTATTTTTGTCCTTAGTAGGACAAATAGGATCTTTGAATATTTGTCTGGGCATCACTTGCATACTGCTTATACTATGCTTCTGAGTTACTGGATATAGGGTGTGTATACATGTGCATTTTTGCAAGAAAAGGGTACTTTTATTATATAGTCTGTATTGTATTTTAAAGGGGAGGGGAGGAGTTCTGGCATTAAATGCTATGAAATCTAATAAATAAAATTATCTGACAATTACTTTCCTTTGATCTTTAAGCTTTGAGTATAGTTAGTTGCTAGGTACTAATTTAAGATATGATTACTGAAATGCTGTATGCAAAATGCGTCATGTTTTAAAATAGAAGTAGTTCTCTAATAGTCTTTTAAAAAACAACCTCTACAATTCAGTTAGGTTTTTGAAATATTTGGAAATATCTGTCACAATTGAATACAGTTTGTGGCATGGAAATATTTGAACTGTTATTTCAGTGTTTCCAGTGATATTACAGTTGGAGACCCTTCTATGAAATTATGGGTAATATTAATATTGATGTCTTCCCTTCCCTTTAAGGATTTTAGACCAAGACACCTGTGGAGAACTAGTGCCTCAAGGCAGAAGGGATTGTTTAATGAATCTGGGGTCTGTGTTTCCAGCGCTTGAGCCCTTATTCTGTACTCTTACTCATATCACATTGTGTTGCAAACATTTTGAAAGATCATGTTTTTTTAAACTACTTGTTTCTTCTGTAACCACAAATATGTTTTTTCAACTACAAATGTTTATGCAATATTAAGTACTTTATTGACTATTGCCGTTATTTTTTTATAATAGCTGAAGCAAATATCAGCTAGTACTTCAACAGGTTCATCTAATAATACAAATTGATTCCCATATAAATTCTCTACAGGAATCTGGAATATGTGTGAAACAAAAAAAAATTGAGACATCTCCATGAATAGAAAAATTATATTTCATGTGTGTTACAGCAATAGTCATCTTGGGCTTGATTTAAAACATAATATTAACATAATTTTTCCTCCTGTCTTTTTACAGATCTGTTCATCTTGATGCTTATGGAGAATTGTTTGCTCGAAGCCTGAATCTCTGAATCTTCCAAGGACTTACCTTAACAAGGAAGAGGATTGGTGATTCTTCACAGAGCCTGGGATTTAGCAACTGGCTTCTAATATAACACTCTATATAACAATGATTGCTGTATGGTCCCATTTTCTACCTTTTATCTGGCTTCAGCTTGTCTAGTTCTCAAATTAGAGTTGAGAAACTTTTTGAAACGAGAGCTCATTCCTACATGCTATATTTGGGAATTGCCTGTTCCAAAAAGATTTTTATGTGTTCTGGATTTTTATGTGTTCTGCCTTTTTACCCAAAGGCACTGTGGTGAGATGATTTTGCATCATTTTCAATACTATTTTGCCTATCAGATCTATTTATAGTTCAGAGGCATTCTCATAAATAAATATAATCCTAGCTACTCTTTTTTTAATTACACGAGTCTCTAAAAAAGCAAAAATCCAGTGAATCTTATAGGTATCAAGGGAGATGTCCCTAAGCACTGTGTTACCTAATCCCGTTATAAATCCATATTCTTTTTAAATAACTTTATTAAAACAAATTGTCCGTCAGTTGCTCCTGCTGTTAGAAGGATTGTAATATTGAGTGGGACTGAAGAATTGGAGAAAAATGTGAAATTGAGAACATCAGATTTAGGAACAAGTGGGGATCCGGCTGTCCTTATAGTTATTTCTATTCCACAGTTGACATATACTGTACTACTAGTCATGGAAAAGCAAGTATGTCACCATTGTGCTCACAAGTACCTTCCTTGGCAACCTCTAGAGTTTTTATCCTATTTTGCATTTTTCTAAAAAAAGAATACTTAAAAGTATAATTCCGAGGGTCAGCATCATCTTTATTTCAAACATCCTATGCCCTGGTAGCTTAGAAAATAAAAATAACAGATGATTTGAGGGCAATATTGTGCTCAGAAGTAAACCATTTGTCTGGGAAAGCTCAGAGTAAACTGGGGTGATAGTGTGTAGATTTGGAAGGCTGTGTTCTGATAAATTAGTGCTTTGAGATATATTAGTCCCTAACTGCTCTTTCTTTGAGATTGGACAGGTCTCCATGGAAAACTGTGTGTATGACACAGTCTTAAAATTCTAAACATACCTTTAAAAGATGGAGACTTGTGATTTAGGTAATTCTGGTACACAGTGCCTAGAAAACAAAAGGTTAAAATATAATTTTAAGTAATCTCTCATTAATCTTAAATTATTGATGGTAATATAAATCAATGAACTGTTTCATATTTAACAGTATTTATTAAATTTATATGCCGCCTATCTCACTATTAAAGCAATTCAGCGTGTAAAATAGATAACTGAAATCTCTTAAGTGAGTGTCTCACAAGTATCTATCAATAAACTGATCTGAACTTTTTGATGTCTTTATAAATACACTGAAATGCCAGTATGAATATGGGAAATAGCACTACAGAATTTAGGGAAGTGTGTAAAATAAAGGATAACCATTACTGATCTGATTTAAGAGGTATGAATTGTGAAAGAAGGGCTTTTGTTCTCTACCTTAATTGAGGATAAAGTACACATGGTTTGAATGTGAACTTATTTTTATGAGCAAATAAATCCCCCATGCCTTCCTCACTTTCAAATATTGAGATGTTTGGCAATGATTTAGAATATAACCTGGCAAACAGAAGGAAAAATGTCATAAAATAAGCTTTATTCTATATATGGAGACATAATTTTAGGATCCAAATATGTATGTGTGTATAAATGTATATTGCTGTCTTAAAGTTGCCAATATAGAATGTTTAATATGCATTTCTGAATAAGCTGATACCTTCACCATCTATTTGTATGTAATTTGGGGATTGGTAACAGTCCAATAATTCCGGGTTGTTGGTTTTTTTTTTTTTAGATCTTCATATGATGATTTTTTTATCATGGCAAATGACACTTTAGAAGGTTTTCATGAAGTGAATCTAGCTTCCCCCACTACTCCAGATCTTTTAGAAGTGCACGAATCTAAAGCTTCTGAAGAACCTACCTCACCTACCATTATTTACCGGCTTCATCCTTCAGCTGTGTGCTCCTTACCTATTCAACCAAGTGCTCTGAATGTGACTGACCTTCCTACACAACCTGTCTACTCATCTGCCAGGCACCTAAATTGTGCAGAAACACCAGGTATCAGGTTGGTTGTAAAAAAAAACAACTTCTATTGATTATTACATAGGTTGTGTAATTAATCACTTTGTGTTATCTGTGAATGCAGATAATCCATGCATAATATATTACTTTTTAAAAATACACTCTTTTCTTACAGCATCAATGTCACAGAAACTGTACCGTGTTCTACCTCAGGAAGCTATGGTGGGTTGTCCAAACATGATCATTCCAGGAAGGACAACTGTAGCGCAGAGAGAGAATTTTTGCAGGGTGCAACAGTAACAGACTTTTCTGAAGGAAGAGATGATGTTTTTGGGCTAAGCACAGATAGCCTGTCTCGTCTGCGAAGTCCATCGGTATTGGAAGTTAGAGAGAAAGGCTATGAAAGACTGAAAGAGGAACTTGCTAAAGCTCAAAGGGTAAGAATAATACATATAATGCTATTTCTGTGTAAGGGAAAAATATTGGTTTTGAGATAAAACATGCCAAATCGTGGCAATTCTTTATTTGTCTTTATTTTCTAACTTTTCTGCCCATCTCCCCTAACTATACCTTTCATTATGTACCAATAAAATATTGCACTGCCCTTTAGATAGCTTCTAAGCCATTTCACTGTTTATTGAAAAACAGTGTTATATTGTGGATGTCTGGGGAAGCTATGATGAATTGAAGATGATGTTGCTGTTGACCCTGTCAACTGGTGGACTGAGAAGTCAGCAAAAGAGCAGGTTTCTCGTTATTCCTCTCCAGACAAGGAGAGGAATCAGGATTGCCCACATGCACTCCAGACATGAAGACATACAGTAACTCCCCACGAAGAGTGTGTGATACAATGGACTTCCTCTGAGAGCTGAGGAAATCTTTGCCAAAGCTATGGCTTTGAGCCTTCAGAAGGATACTTGTCGCTTATTAATTGCCTTTTGGATATTAAAATAAACTATGAAAATTTAAGGATTTTTTAAAACTATTTTGGAATAAGCAAAAGGATGATTACAACATTGATTTTTGAATGTCACAGGTGGGCTAAGGGAGCAGAATTTGAAATAAGATTTTGAAATTAATTATAGAAATCTCTCCTGTGAGAAAATGTAGTTTAGGGGGAAATGAATCTTTTGAAATTAAGTATAAGAAATATTCTTGCAGGAAAGTGATGATCAGAATAATACATAAAATGGGACCTTGAAGGTTAAACACTAGAGGGAACCAGAAAGAATTAAAAGATTATAATTAAAGGTCCAAATTATTCTGAATAATTTGAATTTAAGGATATTTGGGAATAATACACTCAAAAGTTATTTTTAATTTGTATTATTTTTTGTATTTTATTAAATTTATATGCCGCCCTTTTCCCTGGGGGGACTCAGGGCGGCTTCCAACTTAAAAAGGGAAGGGGGAGAAACA